CGCCGCCGCCGCCGCCGCCGCCGCCACCGCCTGCTTCGCCGCCGCTACCGCCGCTCTCCCCCCCGTCGACCGCGAGCCCCCTGTGCTCCAGCCGCTCGACGAAAGACGCCAGCACCGACTCCGCCTTCCCGGGCATCTTCCACCGGTCGTCGTACTGCCGCCCGCGGTGGCGCGGGCTGTCCAAGTCGTCCTCATCGTCGTCGTCGTCATCGCCGTCGTTGAAATCCAGGTCGCCAAGCCCCTCGTGCGAGCTGGTCTGCGACTCGATGCTCGCTCGCAGGGCGGCCTTGAGGCGACTGCCGTCGGAGATCCGGGTCTCCCCTGGGGCAGGCCTGTCCGAAACGGCGGGGGCGCCGCCGCTCCCGCCGGCGCCGGCGCCGGCGATTCCTCTGGCCTTGACGCGGGACATGGTGTGCTTGATGGACACCACGGTCGGCTTGTTCACCTTGCCGTCGTCTCCCTCTTCCGCGGGTACACTGTCAGTGGTAAAAAAGGGGGGCAGGAGACTAAGAAAAAAAGACATGCAGTAGGAATTCGGAAACTACCTCTTTTGGTCCGCGAAGCCAGCGGTCAAGTTTTATCCAGGGAACGAACGAGCTACAAGCTGGTCTGACCAAGACGCAAATTTGAAGGTTGGAGCGGATTTCCCACGCGGTTTTTTCGAGTTAGAACCTGAAATTTTGACATGGCATCTGCATGAGTACTATAAACACAAAGGCCACTGCGCTATTTGGATTTTTTTTTATTTCGTAAGTTAGGCTGATATTAGTATTCATGGGAATATTTGCTATACCAAAAAGTCGCAGAAAAAAAGAAAAAAGTCAAATGGCGCAGTGGCTTATTTGTTTGTTGTACTCATGGGGATGCCGTGTCGAAATTTCAGCTTCTAATTCAACAAAACAGCGTGGGAATCGCGAGATCCTTACGTTGCCTCAGGTATCTCGTGTGTTGTATCGGATTCTTTAATAGGCCATAACTTCTGATGGAAGATGCTGTGAGCCTTGAAACTACCATCTTTCCTCTCGCGATGTTCCCAGGTACATGCACAGCAATTTTCAGCTTGATCTGAGAAACTTTTTTTAATGCTGATTTCAGTACACGAAGTATCCCAACTATGCCGCCAATTGATAGTTATATACCTAAAATCAACTCAGATCCGAAAATTTCCGGCACCTGCGCATCCCCTATGGTCTTATACGAGCACCCGCCAAATTTGAAGTCTAAATTCGTTGAAACAGCAGAGTGGGACATGAAAGAATGAACGTTAGCTTCTTGGTCAGACCAGCTTGTAACAAAGCTGCTATAATAGCTCAAGTCGCACACGTAATGCAGACTGGTACTGCTGTCACAACACCCCCCCCCCCAACAACACCACCGGGCTCGGCAGACTTGCGACTCACTTGCGTCCACCCTTGCGGAGGCCCTCCTGCACCGTCTCCCGCCGCACCCTCGCCAGCGCAAGGCTGTACGCGGTCGCCGCCTTGTCGTCGTCCCGAACCGCCGCGTCGCCCCCCGCGCTGCCGCCCCCGCTCGCCCTCCCCGTCCTGGCGTGCCGCTCTTTACCCGCCGCCGCAGCGCCGCCGCCCCCCGTTCGCCCTCGCTCGTCCGGCTCTTCCTCGGCGCCGACCCCGTCGGCGCCGCCGGAGGAACCCGGGCGGGATAATGATGCCTTCCCGGAGCCCATGGAACCCCTTGCCGTGGGACCGTGGCCGGCCGACGACCTCCGCCGCTCCTCTTCCTTCTCGGCCTGCTCCAGGGCACCCTGTATTAGAAGGGAGGCCCGAGGGTAGGGTAAGAATAGTAAGAGGTGAGGCAGGCCAGCCGTTCACTAAAAGGATTGAACACGATTCAACAGGCGGTGCATGAAGTTCATGCTGAAAGATGCGCGCGGGAAACGTGAGGGGGAGGGGAGGGCATGCGCGGGCGAGAGACAACGAAAAAAAGAACGCACCTCACCAAGAGAGAGAAAAAAAAAAGAAGAACGTTCTTCGCGACATTCCGCGCTCGACAAAGTCACCCCGTCACCCCTCGGTCATCCAACTCAGCTCTCTTGCTGCATACATCCAAGCAAGCAGTGCGTGGCACACAGCAGTCACCATTGAACTTCGCAGCTACTGCTACTACTCGCCTGTAGGCCTTCGTTGTCGACGACAGACCCGGACCTCGATCTCGACCTTCTTCTAAACGTCCCCGTACCACCGCCCACCGCCGCACGAGAGTACGCCTCTCCCTCGAACGATTCGCCCCCGCCCTGCGACCTCTGCTTCCACCGGGCCTCCAGCAGCTGCTGCTTCGTCTGGTAAGACGCAGCAGCCGCGGCGGTCGGCTTCGACCACAGCCGCCCGTCCTCTTTCGGCGGGGCGCGCGCATCAGACCCGGCGTCCCTGGCAAAGGACGCCACCACCGCCGCCACCGCCAACCCGGCGGCCGACCCCACGGATGACCGCCGCCCCCCGTCCACCTCCACCTCCGCGGCCGTCGAATCAAGGGACACAACACCGCGCCTAACCCCCTCCCTGCCGGAGGCGGCGGCGCCGGTGGCGGCGGCGGCGCTGGGCGGCACCGCCCCGTCCCCGGCCTTTATCGCCGCCGGCGCCGTCGCCCCCGCCGCCGCAGGCTTTCTAGGCGGCAGGTCGGGCGACACGGACAGCGACGAGT